TGTTGCAGTATCAATAGTTTGTTCCTTTTTATTGTTGTTTAGTATTCGATGATCTAGATGCACCAGTTTAACTGTTCACCTATTGAAGGACATCTGGATTGTTTCCAGATTTTGGCTATTACAAATAAACCTAAGTAGTTAAACATATGTGTACAAGTTTTTATGTGAACATAGGTCTTCATTTCTCTGGGATAAATGCCCAGAAATACAATACCTTGGTCATGTGGTAGTTGCATGTTTAGTTTTACAAGAAACTGTAGCTAGAGTGGCTGTACCATTTTAAATTCCCACCAGCAATATGCGAGTGATTCCGTTTCTCCTTGTCCTCACTCACCAGCATTTGGTGTCATTACTATTTTTTCTTTAGCCATTTTGATAGGTATATAGTGATCCCTCATTGGGTTATAATTTGCATTTCCCTAATGGCTAATAATTTTGGATATCTTTTCATGTGCTCATTTGTCGTCTGTGTGCATTCTTTGGTGAAAGTTCTTTGGGTTTTGTTTTGTTTTGTTAAAAAAAAATTTTTTTTAACATTTTTATTTGTTTTTGAGAGAGAGAGAGAGAGAGAGCGCGCGTGCGCATGGGCAGAAGAGGGGCAGAGAGAGAGGGAGACACAGAATCTGAAGCAGGTTCCAGGCTCTGAGCTGTCAGCACAGAGCCCAACATAGGGCTCAACCCATCAACTGTGAGATTATGACCTGAGCTGAAGTCAGATGCTTAACTGACTGAGCTACCCACGCACCCGTTTTGTTTTGTTTTGTTTTTAAGTAAACTTTACCCCCAATGTGGGGCTCAAACTCACAATACCAAGATCAAGGTCACACGCTCTACCACCTGAGCCAGCCAAGCACTCGAAAAGGTCTTTGTTCATGTTTTATTTGGATTATTTGCTTTTTTTTAACTGTTGAGTTTTGAAAGTTCTTTATATGTTCTAGATATCACTTCTTTGTTGAATATATGGTTTGCAAGTATTTTCTCCCAGTCTGTAACTTGTCTTTTCATCTTTTTTAACAGGACCTTTCACAATGCAAACAGTTTTAATTTTGAAGTCCAATTTATCAATGATTCCTCTTTTTTTTAATTTTTTTAAAAGTTTTTATTTATTTATTTTGAGAGCGAGGAAGGGAGAGAGAAAGCATGAGCAGGGGAGGGGCAGAGAGAGAGAGAGAATCCAAAGCAGGTTCCGTGCTGTCAGCGCAGAGCTCAATGCAGGGCTTGAAGTCACGAACTGTGGAATCACAACTTGAGCCAAAATCAAGAGTCAGATGCTTGACCAACTGAGCTACCCAGGCACCCCCAAAGATTCCTCTTATAGACAATGTCTTAGATGTCAAATCTAAGAACTCTGTGTAGATCTCTGGTCATGAAGATTTTTCTCCTAGGTTTTTTTCCTACAACTGTATAGTTTATGCTTTATATTTAAGTCCATGATCTTCTCTGATTTAATTTTCTGTATAAGGTGTGAGATTTAAATAGAGGTTCATTTTTTACTTATGGATGTCCAATTACTTCAGCACCATTTGTTGAAAAACTTCCCTTTCCTTGGCATATTTATATGGGTCTATTTCTGGCTCATCTATTCTGTTCTATTGATCTATATGCCTATCCCTTTACCAATATCACACAATGTAGATTACTTTAGCTCTGTAATAAGGCTTCAGATGAGGTAGACTTATTTTTCCCACACTTTATTATTTTTTTTTCAAAACTGTTTCAGCTGCTCTTCCTTTGCCTTACCCTGTAAGTTTATAATAATCTTGTCTATATCTACAAAAAAAACTTGCTGGGATTTTGATAGGAATTGCATTTAAAACCCATATATCAATTTGAGGAGAATTGACATCTTTACTGTCTTGAGTGTTCCAATCTATGAACATGGATGGTGTTGTTGAGTTCTTCTATATACTTGCTGATTTTCCGTCTGGGTCTTCTCTCAGTTGTTGAGAGAGGAATATTGAAATCTCAAACTATAATTATGGATTTGTCTGTTTCACTTTTGCATTCTATCAGCTTTTGCTTCACATATTTTGTAGCTCTGTTGTTTGGTGCACACACATTTAGGATTGCTGTGTCTACTTGGTGAATTGATCCTTTTATCACATAATGTCCCTCTGCATATCTGGTAATTTTCTTTGCTCTAAATTTTACTTCATTTAATATTAATGTAGCCACTCTGGCACTCCTTTAATGAATCTTTGCATGATTTAACTTATTCCATCCTTTAACTTTCCACTAGCCTATATTTTTATATTTAAAATGAGTTTCTTTTATGTAGTATATAGTTGGGTTATGTTTTTTAATCCACATTGCCCGCCTCTGTTTTTTAATTGGTGTATTAAAACCCTTTGTATTTCATGTCCTTATTGAAATGTTAGGATTTATGCCTGCCATTTTATTTTTTGTTTTATATCATCTCTATTTTGTTTTCTGTTTCATTTTTCCTGCCTTCCTATTGGCTACTTGAACTTTTTTATAGAATTCTATTTTTATGTATCTGTCCTGGGTTTTTTACTGTGTTTTGTTTTTTAATATATAGTGTGTTTTAGTGTAGATTTTTAATGGCTGCTCTGGGAACTGCATGTATATATGTACACACACACACACACACACACACACACACACAATACCACAGTCTTCTGGTGTCATCATTGTAACAAGTTTTCTGTCTTGCTGGATGGCCTCTTTCCTGGTCCTTGGGCTATAGAAATTGGGCCTTTCTTGGGGTCTTTTTGTACCCATTGGCATTTCTGGGTTGCCAGCTTCTTCACTCTAAGTCTAGGATATATGAGTCAAAAAGAATATACAGGGAACTCACTTACCATGTCATTCTTCATGCCCTCAGGTCCCTAGCCAGTCTGCTTTTTCCTCTGTACCTTTCACAGTCTTCTTTTTTCTAATTTCTGATATTTTTCTTATGTGCAAAATGGGTATAAATTTCATTTTATGGTATTTTTTTTAAGATTTTATTTTTAAGCAATCTCCACACCCAGCATGGGACTTGAACTCACAACCCTGAGATCAGGAGTTGCACATACCACGGACTGAGCTAGCCAGGTGCCCCTATGATGTATTTTATATTTTAGATGTGTTTGAAAACATTTTGATTTTTGGAAACATCAAACTTTCAAAGTCTTTATACGTTTGTTTTGTAGAATGTCTGGGCTTTTTAGTAGTACTTTAGAGATAGGGAAAAGTAGATCTACTTCCATCTTCCAAGAAGTGGAAATCCCCCCCAGTTTTATTTTTGATCTAACATAGAATTAAGGTAAATTTTCTTTTTCTTTACTATTCTGAGTATACCTGTGACTCTGACCCAGCCCACTGGATCTAGCCTTGGAATTTACTGCAGAGGAAGTCTGCTCATGGCTAGACTGTCATAGAGTTTCAGGCCAGTGCCTTTATTCTGTAAACTCATCTTTCTTTCCTGTATCTTTCTTTTATTCTCTTTTGTTAGCATCATTTCAGAGAGCTGCTGCTACTACAGACCTCTAAGCCACAAGATGGTGCCCCAGAGCAGTTCAAGCTAATCCCTTTCTGTTCTTCCCTGGGCCCCTCTTTTTAACTTAATATTAGTAAACTCAAGGCCATTTATCTAAACCAGGGTATAGTAGTAAACTAAAAATATAAAGTGATAATCCAATGGAAATTCATATGGAAAATTTTAAAACTAATTGTCATTCTTCTTAATGAATCCAGTTGCCGTTTTATAATTGAACTCACCGAAAATAATCTGTAATCTCAGCATAGTTTTAAGAAAGGAATGTTATGGGTGCCTGGGTGGCTCAGTTGGTTAAGTGCCCAACTCTTGATTTCAGCTCAGGTCATGATCTCACAGTTTGTGAGATCAAGCCCCGAATTGGGCTCCACATTGAGCATGGGCCTTCTTGGGATTCTCTCGCTCCCTCTCTCTGTCTCCCCCCTGCTTGTTCACATGCTCGCTCTCTCTCTCTCTCTCTCTCTCTCTCTCAAAATAAATAAATAAACATTAAAATAAATAAATGAAGGGATGTTATAAATGCATTCTAAAGGAGATGCACCTCTCAGTATCTTTTGAGGTGTTTGAATCAATGAACCAAACTTTCTTATAGTGTAGATGTTTGCTTTTGATTACTAGCCTTTTAAAATTATGGCTTATAAGATTATATAAAAATGCATGAAATAAAACCACTGGTAAATACATATTAACAATCTTTGGGTGGGGAACAGAAATTGACAGGTCTTTGAGTGGAAAAAAGAATTTCAGTGAAAGGTATCAGTCTCCGCAGAATCATGACATGGAAAAGTTGGCTGAAAAGATGCAATCTATTCCAGCCATATACAAACTTACAAGAAAAAAAAAAGTAGAACACTTTGTTCACTTTATTCAAGTGACAACTTATGCAGAATACCTATGTATAAATGTACCAAAGCTGAGCTTGTTTTGGTTGAAACAGGGTCGGGAGTATAGGAACTAAACCCCATCCTCATTGAACCTCTCTGTCTCTATCCCAGTGGACTCTGCGGAACACACTTTAAAAACAATTCATTTTGGGGGCGCCTGGGTGGCTCAGTCGGTTAAGCGTCCGACTTTGGCTCTGGTCTACTGCGTTTCTGGGTACGGGGCCCTCGCAGAGCTCTGCTGTGCTGTGCTCTGGAGACTGGGTTGCTTTGATTCTGTGTCTCCTCTCTCTGCCCCTCCCCCACTTGTACTCTGTCTCTCTCTGTCTTTCAAAAATAATTAAATGTAAAACAACAACAACAACAACAACAACAACCTATTTTGTCTATGCTTAGGAAACTGACTGAATGATGTAATGTAGCCCGACCAGTAGGCTACAGTTGTAACAAAGAAACATTTGCTTCAGGCTTACAAAGATGCAGAATTGTTTTAAGGAATGTTTTCTCACCCCTTACCAGAAAAGAGTGTTTCACCATTGAGACTACCAGGTAGAAGAATCACTCCACTTACTTGACATTCTTCTCCTGGCCCTTTTGGGGACTGGCTTTGTGTTTTTTAGCTCTTGCATGTGGTCTCTCAACTAGCCAAGCAGAATCTGCAGCTGCTGGTCTTGGGCCGAAAGCACATGCTAACACAGCACTCCAGGTGGAGAAAGGATGAGATGAAAGAGGTGCAGAAGCAAGCCAGCTGCTTCTTTGCTGACAACATGTAAGTACTGAAGGCACTAGGTGAATTACACTAGGCTTCCATCATCTGCTTGTTAGTTACCTATTCTTGCCATTTTTAAAGTGCATGTGTCTGAATGTATATATGTAGTATATTCAGCCTCATTCTAAAAGAAGATTTGAAGCAGCTTACGAAAATATACTTTCTACAGCGGGATACATTTAAATGGATGATAAAATAAGGATAAAGGAGAAATAGGAGGGAGATAAAGTCAGAAGTGGGATGAGTACACAGAATGCATGCCATAAGGTCCTACACAGATCATTTAACCAATATTGTATAAATATGAGCACGCTCTGTGTTCTTGGAAAACAGCAGTCGTTCATTGAGTGCCTGCCTTCTTGGGATGTAAATAGGTAAACAAATAAAAAGGTCATGTAATTCCAGGCAGTGATCAATGGCTAGGAAGACAATAAAGCAGAGTAAATAGATTAAAAAGGATTAGGTAGGGGGTAGGTCAGAGGGTAGTAGATGGGGTGGTCAGGAATAGCCTTTTGGAGGGGGCAAAACCAGAGGGAAGAAGTCATTTGAGAAAACGGGGGAGGGTGGATGGAAGAATATATGAAGCAGAGGGAACAGCCACTGTTCAAAAAGCCCTGAAGCAGGAATGTGTTTGACATGTTTGAAGAAAGCAAACAAACTATTGTAGATGAGCTGTAGCAGCAAGAAGGAAAAGCAGGAGGTTCTGGACTCAGAAGGAAAGGACCATAGTACAGAAGACCTGTGGACTCGGATAGGCAAGCGAGGAGCCTGGAATTTATTCTAAATATAAAGGGAATGTTGCTGTGAACCACAGCTTCTCAGGAATCCAAAGAAACATGGAAAACACGGTGAGTGACAAAATGGTACAGTGTCCATAAAGAAGAAAGCAGAGGAGGGGCACAGATCCTCAACAGGACATGTAAACTTTTAACATACACCTAGTTTTACATCCAATTTATGCTGACAAAAGTTTATTTTTAACTTTGCCTGGATCATGTGTGTACCTCAGTCCTGGGTATAGGTTTCATTATGTTGAATGTGGTAGCTTCAAGATTTGTCAGTATTCCCCAAATCATTTATTCCTAAAAAGGTAAAATGACTCTCTGTGCATGGAACAGGGAGCTAACCCCTTGTTCAGATCCCAAACCAATCCCTTTTTCCTTAGCTAAGTCCTTTTATGTATTCACGGGAAGGGTTGCTTCTTTGTCTCTGTGAGTAGAAGGCAATAATAATACTCTTCACACTCACTTTAGGCAGAATGGGATAGACAAGAGGAGCACAGGCTTGGGAATTAGTCTACCCAGATTCATATCAGCCCTGCCACCTCCTATCTGGGAAGATGTTTCCCTCTGTGTCTTCATATATAACCCCCATGGGGTTTCTGTGAAGATTAAGTGAGGTAATATTTGTAAATAATCCATGGAAAACTGTAGCAGGGCACCAAGTACTTGGAAAGCATATATGTAAGTGCCATCATCATCACTTTTATTTTTCTTAGGTGGAGGAACTGGATAAATGCAGTGTTACAACCAAGAAGCCTGTTGGAAATTGGTCTCATGCTTGGTTTGGGGCTTGTGTTTATTGTGTCTGTTAAAGTTCCAAACCCAGTTGTAAAGATTGATTCAGTGACCTCCTGTGGCTTTGGATTTGAATATTTAAGTTTTTAACATTAATTCTATTTTCCACTAATGTACCAAAGAAGCCTTTTCAAACAGATACTATACTATAAGAGAATAGTATAGTGAATCTCCATGGAAGTGTCACCCAGCTCCAGCAATTACTATCATTTTTCTGATATTGTTGCATATAACCCCCTACATTTTTTCTATTTTTCTTTCCGCTCTCTTTTTTCCTGGAGATTTTTAAGGCAGATAGATTCTAGTCATTTATCATTTCATTTGAAATAGTTGAGTATAAAATAAACTATAAATGGTCCTACTTTGGGTCATTTGGATCAAGGCATAAGACATACCACATGCTATAGTCCAAATCTCCTGAGCAAGGCAACTACTTGGCTGTTTTTATAGCACACATACTACAGTGGTAAGTGCTCAAGTGGAGGGTCTGTTAGAAACTCTGAGTCACTGGTTCATCTCATAGCAGGAGATGCCGTTGAGTGCTGATCTGGGTGACTACCCAGAAGCTTCTTTGAGATACCACTATTAGCTTTGAGGGCAGCCCATTATTTTTGGTAGCTTGCAAGGAAGTGTCATCCTGCCTTATTAATATTTTGAATATTCCTCAAATTTAAATGAGGAAAGGTGAGAAGGGGGGTGGCGTGGGTGTGCCCTGTGGTGGATAAGGCAATAGGAACAACACCTTGGGCACACAGAGAACCAGGGTTCTCTGTGAATGTGAAGAGAAAGTCATTGTTAGAATTCTTCATTTTAGTGGGAGAGCCCACTACAGTGGACCAAGTTGAGCATTTGCATTCCCTTCCATTTAGCTTTCCAACCTGTGTTCTAGAGAATGCTGTCTACTAGCAAAGGACATGATGCAGGTAGTTTGTAAGCATCACTGAGATCATGTCAGTTAAGAATGCAGAGCACCTCTGAGGAAAGTAGATAGAGTAAGAAGTAAAAAGCGTGGTGAAGAATGCCATCCTCTGCCTCCTTGGGGCTGTGCTTAATTGTATTCTTTCTTATGCCTGGCTTAGCTCGGCAGACGACCCATTCCTTCTGTATGCCACGCTGCACTCGGGGAACCACTGCAAGTTTATCACAAAAGATCTGATGCGGGACCACAAGGCCTGTCTACATGATGCCAAGACCCAGCGCCTCTTCTTTAAGTGGCAGCAGGGCCATCAGCTAGCAATCATTAATAGGCTTCCAGGATCAAAAATAACCTTTCAGGTATGTTATTTGTTCTCTACATAATGCCAACAGGGTCAAGTACAGTATATAGTCACGGTATATAGATAGATAGTAAGAATGTGGCATAGTCAAAGAATGTTGCACTTAGTTGAAGGTGCTGAATGCTTTATTTTTCTCAGCTGTAGTTTGGTATTTGGGATTAGCCAGTTCCTGGACACAGAAAGTCTGCCAGAGCAAAAGTTTCCATAGACCAGCCTCACATCACATTAATTGACATATCAAAAACATCTGAGATGTCATCAATTGTGACTTCAGTTATGCCACCGATTATAACTCCTCATACATGTTTTTTATTTTCCTGAAAATTCCTTATCCCTTATGGTTCGTCATATTTCTGCTAAGTAACTCTTTTTCCTGTTAGTTCACTTCTGCGGCATGGTCTCAGTTGAGTTCTCCTTTGGTTCTAGTTTAGATCCCTGCAAATATGAGATCTCTTATCTCTTGTGTGAAAGCAAAGGGAAAAAATCCAAAGGCAAGCTATTATAGAAAAATACACTAGCCAATGGTATATGTGGTCCAATGGTCAAAAAATATACAAAACAACAGCTCTATAGGAAAAATCAAGACTGGGGGAAACTATTCAGGACAACTGACTTGGTTTCCTCAACAACAACAGAATGACAAGAAAAACAGAGATGGAAAGTAAAGCTCTAATTAAAATTAACAGATAATTCAGTCACGATGTAATAACCTAATTTCAACTCCTAATCGAAGAAATCGACTGTAAAATATATGTACACATATTTAATAATTGGGGAAATGTAAATAGTAGATATCTGATGATAAGGAATTATTAACTCTTAAGTGTAATAATAGTATTGATCTTATATTTACAAAATAGATCCTTAAAGGTACATACTGAGGGGCGCCTGGATGGCTCAGTCAGTTGAGCTTCCAACTCTTAATTTCGGCTCAGGTCATGATCCCAGAGTCCTGGGGTCGAGCCCCACCTCGGGCTGCACACTGAGCATGGAGCCTGCTTCAGATTCTTTCTCCCTCTGCCCCTCTCTCCCACTTTCTCTCTCTCTCACAAATAAAAATAAAGGTACATACTAAATATTATAGAAGAAGGGATATGATAGCTGAGATTTGCTTCACAATAATCTTGGGGGGTGGTATGGATGAAATAAAATTATCCATGAGTTGATAATGGCTGAAGCTGGGTGGTGCATACATGGGAGTTCATTATACTATTTCTCTATTTTGTATATATGAAAATTTTCTTTCAGTCCAAATATAGACTCTGCTGTAGAGAGTCTTTAACCTTAAAGATAAACTCTCCCCCAAAAAAGAAACCCCTAATGCTAGGGTTCATCTTCACAGAGCTAGCTGCTCTTTGAAAATCCATTGTTAAGTAAGACAGAGAATACTCCTGAAGCAAACTGAGAAGTTGTCAGAAAAGAAAGGGAAATGGCCAGGTAAACCCTCTGTGTTGTTCTCAATGTTTGGCTCCCTTTTTAATTCAACAGCATATCCCCAGTTATGACACAGTGGTGCAAACAACTGGAGACTCATGGCACATACCATATGATGAAGACTTGTTGGAAAGATATTCCTATGAAGTGCCAACCAAATGGCTGTGCCTTCACCGAAAGACATAAAGACTATACCCCATGCAGAACTTGTGTTTGGGTGCCCTTCTGGTTGGCATCAGAGCTCTTCAGTCAGTGCTCACTTAGAGCATTGCTCCTGTGTGATCCACTTTGTCCTGTTCAGTCCAGGTGTCAACAAATTGAGGGGTTTTTTTAAATTAAATAAAATATAATATCTTTTCATAAGCAGTTGTATTTGTATTTTTTTTTTTTTACCAGCCATTTGTTTTTGGAGAATTTATCCATAGTTGGGGAAGTCAGGGCAGAGTGAAGTCTACGTTTCTCCTGTCGGGCCAGCTTGGCCATTCACTTGGACAACAGGTGCTTCTGGTATCCATTTTGCTACCCCTGACCTCACCTTCCAGGTCCACAAATAGCAGAGCCAATGCATCTAGGCCTAGGCTACTCATGTTGTTTCTAAACCCCTTCTACCATTTCTGGCATGATCTCATCCTCTACACATGATCTGCTACTCATACTGAATCACTTATGCTCCTCTGTGATAAACTGGCCAAGAAATCAGAAGCTTATTAGCAACTTTTACTTACCACCCAATGATTTGAGTGGGAGAGAAAGGAGCAGTTTGTTCTCTTTAGCCTGTGGTCATTTCTTCATTCTACAATGCCTTTTTCAAATTGGTTCAATATTTTGTGAACACTATTAATTCCATCACTCAGAATATGAGGGCTTTTTAAAGGATACAGATTTTTTTTCATTTAATCAAGTTTGACTTAGTTTAACAAAGTGATTAACTTTTCATGTTTGCCTCTCTTTTACTTCCTTGCCAGCCTGCTTATACCTCACTGGGCCTTAATTTTAGCTGGAAATATTCATGTCCACAATACTTTATGTTTTTTCTTTATTTATACATGCTGTATGATTTAATACTCAAGAATAGGCAAAACCGGGGGCACCTGGGTGGCCCAGTCAGTGAAGCATCCGACTTTTGATTTTGGCTCAGGTCATGATCTCACAGTTCGTGAGTTTGAGCCCCACATCGGGCTCTGTGCTGACAGTGCAGAACCTCTATAGGATTCTCTCTGTTTCTCTCTCTGCTCCTCCCTCATTTGTGCACTCTCTCTCTCAGAAATAAATAATAAATGAACTTAAAAAAAGAACAGGCAAACCCAGTCTATGGTGATAAAAATCACAATAGTAGTTGCCTGAGGCAAGAGCACAAGAGACCTTTCTGGAGGGTGATATAAAGTTCCCTCTATATTGATCTGGGTGATGCTAACTTAGGTGTATGTGTATACTGGTCGATTTATCACACTACTTAAAATGGATGCCTTTACAACAATGTAGCTCAAAAAACATTAACCTTAAAAAGATAGTTATTGGGGCTCCTGGGTGGCTCAGTCAGTTAAATGCCTGACTTCAGCTCAGGTCATGATCTCACAGTTCGTGAGTTCGAGCCCCGCATTGGGCTCTGTGCTGACAAGCTCGGAGCCTGGTGCCTGCTTCAGATTCTGTGTCTCCCTCTCTCTGCCCCTGCCCCATTCGCGTTCTGTCTCTCTCTCAAAAATAAGTCTTAAAGGGGCGCCTGGGTGGCACAGTCGGTTAAGCGTCCGACTTCACCTCAGGTCACGATCTTGCGGTCCGTGAGTTTGAGCCCCGCGTCAGGCTCTGGGCTGATGGCTCAGAGCCTGGAGCCTGCTTCCGATTCTGTGTCTCCCTCTTTCTCTGCCCCTCCCCCCTTCGTGCTCTGTCTCTCTCTGTCTCAAAAATAAATAAACGTTAAAAAAAATTTTTTTTTTAAATAAGTGTTAAAAAACTTTTTAAGATAATTATTTACATGAAATAAATAATTACCTCACTTACATAAAGCCATATACACAGATATAAGTAGGGTGTGTATTATGCACAGAGAGACTATTCAGGAAAAACACAGGAGGGGAATGTTTCATCTCCTTATCCATTTACTGGATCCTACTCTGCTGCGTGCCTAGAAAAAATAGCTTTCCAGAAAAGTGTGCAATAATTTGAAAATATTGAAGATCAGAAAATTCTCCTACATCCAATCTGCTTATTTTCTAAATTTCATAAACTACAGACAGAAAACTGTGTTTTCAGTGAGTTACATTTTTTTAAAGTAACTATCCTAGTTTTTGGAAAATTTTTAAAAAAGAGAAATGTGTTTGTTAAATAAGCTTATCTGACAGCCTAACACAAATACCTCACAAGGAGCACATGGAGATGGGGGAGAATACAAAAGGAATCCCAGAACTTTGAGTGAACCTTGAAGAACAGAAAGTCCAGCAGTAGCATTTTATAGAGGAGGGACAGACCCTGAAAGATGAAATGGCTTCTGTGGATCCCATAGCTAGTTCGTGGAGACATTTCAACTGTAACCTACCTTCCCTGATTCCCAGCCAAATAATCTTCCTTCTCTACACTGTGATTTAGGTTAGGGTAGTTCATAAAAACTCAAACAGACTTAGGGGCGCCTGGGTGGCGCAGTCGGTTAAGCGTCCGACTTCAACCAGGTCAAGCAACCAGGTCAAGATCTCACGGTCCGTGAGTTCGAGCCCCGCGTCGGGCTCTGGGCTGATGGCTCAGAGCCTGGAGCCTGTTTCCGATTCTGTGTCTCCCTCTCTCTCTGCCCCTCCCCCGTTCATGCTCTGTCTCTCTCTGTCCCAAAAATAAATAAACGTTGAAAAAAAAAAATTAAAAAAAAAAACAAAAAAAACTCAAACAGACTGAATCATAGGGCATCCAGTATTTAGATTGAGGGACTTAGCCACATAAGAGAAAGGGGGAAGAATGAGAGCAAAGAAACAAGGGAGTACCTCTTTAAAGGGTCCACATTTGTAGAATGGCTCTTCAGTGTACAAAATTGTGTCAGGGAAATTACATTATTTTTGAACTCTTTAATACTGTTAAAAAATACAACTCTGGCTCAGTCTGAAGAACATGTGACTCTTAATCCCAGGGTTGTGAGTTGAAGCCCCACGCTGGGTATAGACATTACTAAAATAAATAAATAATTTGAAAAATCCTAATTTCTGCTTGAGTTGAGGTGCATCTGTTCTTTGTCCAGGAGTAAGGGAATTCTAGGGCTGCTTAGTGTAAATGACACTGACACAGGACACTGAGGAGTGCAGGGATCTTCTGAAGGAAGGGAGCTGGTACCAAACACTTAGGCTGCCCTTTTGTATTCTGAATGAAAAAGAAAAAAAAGCTACCAGTTAAGCAAAGTCTGAGACAATGGGAAGAGGAATTCTTTTAAGTTATGCTCAAGGGGGCCTCAGTGGCTCAGTTCGTGAAGTGGTGAAGCAGTTAAGCATCAGACTCTGGATTTCAGCTCAGGTCATGATCTCACGGTTCATGAGTCCCAGCCCAACATCGGGCTCTGCACTGATAGTGCAGAGCCTGCTTGGGATTCTGTCCCCCTCTCTCTGCCCCTACCTTGCTTGCTCTCTCTCTCAAAGTAAATTAAAAACAATAAACTAAAAAAAAAAAGTTATTTTCTGGATTAATAGTGTCTTTTAAGTCAGCTATGAACAAATGAAGGCTTTGAAAGGGCAAATGAAGGCTTTGAAAGAGCATTAACTCTGCCACTGGAAAATACCTCCAGGGGCGCCTGGGTGGCTCAGTCAGTTAAGTGTACGACTCTTCATTTTGGCTCACGTCATGATCCCAGGATCATGGGGTCAAGCCCCATGTGGGGCACCGTGCTGACAGCATGGAGCCTGCTTGGGATTCTCTCTCTCTCTCTCTCTCTCTCTGCCTCTCCCCTGCTCATGTTCTCTCTAAATCAATTGATCAATCAATCAATCTTCTAAAGTGCTTTGTGTTTCCCTCAGAAATGCTCCTGAATTTATACTCTCTTTGCCTCCTGCCGTTCTCGGACTGAATAAAGAGAAGATCTCAAAGGGGAAGCCTGAGTTAATTATTCTCTCAGGACTACATTGACACTACCTCACCTCAGGTGTCTTGTTCTTCACATTAATTTGTGTCTACAAGTTTGCATTTAAATATAATTACTTGCTCTTTGGTCCTGTAGCAGGTTTCTCATTTTTTGAAAAATTGTCCTAATGTATTATAAAATACATCATATATGTTCACGTTGGATTTCTTTTTCCCTAATAGCTTCATTCTAAAGCAGGAATGGAAAGGAAGAGTGTGTTATATGGGCACCTGAATTCTGTCCATCATGGTGAGTCTTATACTCATTTGCTAAAAATTAGTATTATCAGGGTAATTGAGGGCAAAGCTAAATGGAGTCCAGATCTGGTATTTCAGCCGTCCTTCAGTAATTTGGAATTCCTAGAGTGAAAAACACCTAAGGGAGCCCTTGTGGGAATGACTGGGAGTATAGCAACATAGACCATTGTGAAGATATGGTGATATTTCTTTTTTCTTTTAAATGTTTTTTTTTTTTTTTTAATTTTTGAGAGAGAGAGGCAGAGCACGAGCAGGGGAGGGGCAGAGAGAGAGGGAGACACAGAATCCAAAACAGGCTTCAAGCTCTGAGCTGTCAGCACAGAACCTGACACAGGGCTCAAACCCATGAACCGTGAGATCATGACCTGAACTAAAGTCAGACGCTTAACCGACTGAGCCACCCAGGTGCCCCTATTTTTTCTAATGTTTATTTATTTATATTTGAGACAGAGTGTGAGCAGGGGAGGGGCAGAGAGAGAGAGACAGAGAAACCTAAGCAGGCTCCGTGCCATTAGTGCAGAGCCTGACACGGGGCTTGAACTCACAAGTTGTGACATCATGACCTAAGCTGAAACCAAGAATTGGACACTTAACCGACAGAGCCACCCAGCCACCCTATTTATTTTGAGAAAGAGAGAGAGACAGCACATGAGCAGGGGAAAGGTAGAGAGATGGAGAGAGAGAATCCCAAGCAGGCTCTGCACCATCAGCGAGGAGCTCAGCCCGTGAGATCATGGCCTGGGCTAAAATCAGACATCGGATGCTTAACTAACTGAGCCACCCAGGCACCCTGAAATGGTGCTATTTTGATTTAGGTATTCTTTCAGCAAATGGAGTTCTCA